TACCCCATGGACAATCATTTTTGAAAGGGTAGGCTACTTTACTGTACCCTTTTTACATGTTATACTTTCAAAAAGAATACATTTCCCAGGGTGGAAAAACCGTCGCTATTATAAACATAATTTTTTAAACAGCTGGGAATAGATTTCATTGGAAACTACTTGAACGCAACTATAGTACAGTTTTCGCAGACTGGAATGCTTGAGAACGACAAACGTTTGAAACCTACTGTTACTTGATATGAGGGGGATATGAGATGAGAAATCTGTGTGAAATGGTTACCACCCTGTCTGTTAGACGGTTTTTCTGAACAATTGGTGCATGTATATTGCCTAAGAGCACGTCTGTGTAATACCAAACGTCAAACGTTGTATTTCATTTATAGCAAAGCGGAGGGTATTTGGTGCACATGTACCTAAATACCTTATTGGAATTATTCTTTGTGGGTGAATAAACTATCTAGAAGATTGTCAGTGTGTTGAAACAACGTAATAATTCTCCTGTTTGTGTGGCAAACTCACTTACCGCGTGAGAGTTCACCCCATACTTACACGCATAGCATGTGTTAAATTCTCTAAATTGTACACTTATATCTTTCTTTTTCAAATCAGATTATGTAAGCATTGTGTCTCCCTATTACGTAGTAATAGAACACATAATACAAAACGACTAATCGATATGGAAACAAGATGGTCAATAGATAACAACGTTGTAGATATAGTCACATCAATGCTGAAACAAATAATCGATGAAGATGATCAGATGTATTCCAGAAACCGGTTTCCGGTTTTGTAGGTAATATTCGTTTCAAAATGTGCATTACGCAGAGTGGGTTACAATTATGTTGATGAGATTTCCATATGTGTGCACACACTAGCACTTCAAAGAATACTGTGGCATTGTTGTTAGTTGTTCATATCAACGTGTAGATGTTTGTCCTGCAAATGGTATTGGGTAGAATATTAACTCATGTTGTCACTTAACATGCAACTCCTATGTCGTTCCAAAAAATTGTGGAAATAAAATAAATTTCTTAAAATGTAAACGGCAGAAAAACAGAATAAAACATAAATATATTGCTGTTTGAAAAAAAAGATATATATGTATGTAAAATTGGTCACATCGTTTAGTTTAAAAAAAAAAATTCGTATACTAAGTTTTTCACTAATTGAACCCATTTTGATCTACATTCTAGGCATACTAAAAACTCCAGCTTTATACAGAAAACACATAATAACAACCACAGTTATATATAATGAATGATTATTGTCATTCTATTGCCTTTACATACTGGTGAAAACCAATGGCTTGCACACATATGTAGATACATACGAAGATGCCCTAATACATACATTCTATATATATATATATATATATCAATATACATATATATATATATATATATATATATATATATATATATATATCAATATAATATATATATATATATATATATATATATATATATATATATATATATATATATATATATATATATATATATATATATATATATATATATTAAGGTTGATTACAAAAAAATAAGGTGTGTGTAAAGTTTATACAAATAGAAAAGCATTCAGTGTTTCTTCCAGACTTTTTTCTCCGGGGGGGGGGGGGCACTTAAACTTTCTTCGGGGTGGCTGACACTGTTAAAAGTATATATTTTCTATATAAATTATATAAATTCCATTTCGTTCGGGGGGGGGGGGCGGTAAAAAATTTTTTGGGGGGGGCCTGATAATCCCTCCCGCAACCAAATATTTTATTAAAGATATAAGATACACATGTTCGCTCTACAAATTTTTTATTATTTATTTCAGTACTAATACCTTTTATCTATCTAAGCCGAACATTTCGGACTTCTACAGCCTACGGTGATCCTTTTATTGCGATGTGAAACATGGTACCCTTGTCAAATGTTTACACTACTAAGCGGACATCGGCTATCTTCGAGCGGGTATTACATCATTTATTGCCCGCGGGGCACCATAAACTCTAAAGCAATCTATCAGCCGAGCAGTCATGTACACACTGGTGTAGTGACCTTTTCTTTTGTCCTAAAAATAAGTGACATAAACGCGGTTTTCTACAAAGTAAATTTGATGGCAAACTCCATATAAGAACATGCGTGTAAAAATAATGAAAGGGAAGAGATTCATTGATACGTTTGACCAATCATATTATAGTACAATAAATCAAAATAATTCACGATATAATTAACATATAATGTGTTCTTCCTAGATTGTTATTTACACATTAGGTTACCTAATGTATATATATATATATATATATATATATATATATATATATATATATATATATATATAAACATGTCTACATAGACCTATATATATATATATTTCAATTGATGACATCCCCTTCCCAATTAGCCAAATTCCATGTGGAAAAAGCATCGTTTTCATCGTAAATTAAAAGATTTTGGTGTTACCCCCTCTCTTGTCCTTAATTGACTTATCATTTATTTAAAATACTCAAAAGCCTTTATTCCTCCCCGGGTGATAGTTTTAAAGTGTGCTGCTTTTTTAGCCCCCCCCCCTCCCCCCACCAGACCCCTTTAATCCCTCACTAGCTAAAGATATGTGTTCGTTTGTATTTGTGTTTGTTTGCAAGCAGTGTGTCTGAGTGCGTAGGTAAGTATGTGTTTGCGTGTTTATATTCGCTCGTGAATCAGTTGAATCGGGTATGAAAATTTTATTCGCCAGAAAAATATTTGCGTCTGTACTTAATCAAACAGGGATTAGACAGAAAACTCATTTAGCTGTAGGTAAAGCTCAGTCTCTATAAGACTATAATTCCTATTGATTTAATTACACATGTATGCAGGTTATTGTATTGTATCACAAACTGGATGCAAACGGAACACCTCAACATAATGTTCACATAAACTGGTTTATATTTAACGTTCAAAGACTACAAGCAACATTAATTATTACAAAACTCAAAATAACTTGTTTAATACTTCTCTGAATTCTCAGATGGTTTGGTCTTTATTTACTTGATAACCTGGGTATAGCAGTAATTTATTACGGCATTTGTTAGAATAGATATAACAGCCGTCCATTTCGTCAGTTGTTGAAATAGCTATAACGGCCGTCCGTTTCGCAACTTGATAAAATAGCTATAATAGCCGTCCATTTCGTAACTAGTCTTGTTAGAAAAGCTATAACAGCCGTCCACTAATCCTACAGTGAACCTAATTGTAAAGACCGTCCATTACGGCACTTTTTTTAAACTAGAAATATAGGCCGTCTACTACGTCAACAGTGAACCTGGCTATAATGGCCGTCCACTACGTTACATTATAACCTACCTAAAATGGCCGTCCACTTCGTCATTTGCAAATTACTGTTAACTAATCTTCTGTGTAACAAGTAATATAGGATATAACATTGAGTAGAACATTTTACAATTAATCCACACATTTAATTAAACAACTGAGTTATTAATTAAAATTCCACATCGAGAAAATCTAGCAAGTATTACAAAGTTCAAGCCGTTCAATAAAGGATACGTGTTACACTACCATTGATGTCTTTTTAATGTAAGCTTGACATACATAAGGGGATCCAAAGGATAAGTAAGTGGGTGTCTAGGCGAATAACCGTCCCCAGGGGCTCGCACGTTTTGACCCATACAGACAGAGTGAACACGTTAAGTAAAATATTTTTTTACAACTGTTTAAAACAAATCGTATTGTTTGTTTGGTCAACTGTATCATTGTAGTAATAGCAGAGCGACCCTTCCCGGCGCCCGGGGACAAACTTTCGACTTGCACCCCCCTCAAACTTTCGATATAAACGCCTAGACAGAAGAACCCAACATTTGAAGGTGGAGGGGAGGGATGTTACGTCCCTTACATGTCCCCTGCTTGTGTGTGTGTGTGTGTGTTGTGTGCTGGAACGACAGGTACCCTCCCTTTGGTGTATAGTTGTATCCTTTGGTTGAGTGTGTTTACATGGAGCGAGAGGTGTTCACGTGAGGTGTGTCAGGTGACGGGTGTCAGAGCGTGTGCTAGTGTGTGAGACAGTTAGTTGTGGTGTGGCTGTGGACGTGGCTGTGGACGTGGAACGTGGTGTTGAGTATTGTTATTTATGTTGTAGACCCCATTTGTATATATTAAACATATTATTATTATTATTATTATTATTATTATTATTATTATTATTATTATTATTATTATTATTATTATTATAGAGTGTTAGTGTTATCTACTGTTGTATACGTTGTATTTGTATGTTGCTATATATAAACCCATAGACAGAAGAACCCAACCCGACAAACTTGTTATGAGCCGGTCAAAAATATATGAATACTTAAGCTTCATTTTTGTAATGAATACATTTGCTTTTTATTTATCACTATTATTATTATTTGCTTTTGCAAAACCCCTATCTATGTGCACGAATTACATTATAAAAAACGCATTGTACTTATGGTCGGATATTCGAGCTACTTAATTAACATCCTGGGCCCCCCTAAGCGGCCTACCCCCCCTCCCCTGCATTGCGGTGTCTGGCGACATGGTAGCTCCGCCCCTGAAACTACCATGAGTGTGGTTATTACTAAAGAGAAACATATCTGATGCCAATTTATACTGTTTTTATATTCGAATTTTATTTCATATCAATGAAAATTTGCCATTTGAATTCCATTTATTATCAAATAATCTAACTCTTTCACACACAATAACACACATACACATACAATTACTACAACACTATCTCAGACATACTTTTTAATTACCTTAACACTATAACACACTTATAAAAACATAGTATGCCCAATATTACCATTAACTTCACAAACAGTAACTCATGAGGTAATCACAAAAACAATCTCACTATGTGACATCTCCCACACTTAAATCACATACTGTACCCACATTACACTGTACAAATCTCCGCCTTTGTTACCACGTGAGCAAATCCGCAAACTGTTTGTGGTTATAAAAAAGCTTTGACCAGTAACACGCGCATTCAGCTCCATCCAATCACCGGTAGTTTAACATCTGTCACCTGGCATCTTCACAGTCCCATCAGACGTCCATTCGTGCAGGTTAGAACAAGCCTTCAAGGAATCAAATTTTCAATTCCTGACAAACATGTTTCTGCTAGTCTTCGTGTTTCTTCTCACAGTATCGGCGCAAAAAGAGCCAACTTTCGGCGAAATCTTCGCATCTTTTGACACGAATAATGACACATATCTGTCATATAAGGAAAATAAAGATACATTTGCCGTGAGTTGTTCTAACATTCTGTGTAAACATCTTTTAGTTGTAGACCTACTTAATGTTAAATCATAGCTAACATCACTGTCTTCAATTTGTATATATATATATATATATATATATATATATATATATATATATATATATATATATATATATATATACATATACATATATATATATATATATATATATATATATATATATATATATATATATATATATATATATATATATAATGCTTTATATTCTTGGACATATTTAATTGCGATCCAAATTAAAATTAGAACGAAAGATTAATCAAGTACGTCATCTTGTACATTTTAAACTAACGTTGGTAATTAAACTATAGTGAAAGGTTTACAAAAATCAAACCCCATCCACTAAATTACGCACATTTAAACATCCACACTTACATGTACATGTTCGCGCACGCTTAGACTCACTGTTACATTTAAACTCACACCGGCACGCACATGAACAAGCACATACGCTAAACTAACACTTCAATGTAAACTTACAATTACACTTACACTTGCACGCACTCACACTTATGGTTCTTCTAACCCACACCCTTAAGCGCAGGCTTACGCTTGTACTTACACTACATGCCAATCACTAGTTGTTCATTTATTTGTGCCAGATTTTAGCCAAGTTCTAATACAGACTTCACTACCACCATATTTCTCCAGAAATACGACACCAACAAAGATGGGACGGTTACCAGAGATGAGTATTACAAATACGTTTCCTCAAACAAACCCTGTGACATCCCAGGATATGCGTTTGATATTTACGACTCCAACAAAGACAACAAGATAAACCACTTAGACTATGAAGCCATATTCAAAACGGTTGACGCAGACAATGATAATATGATCTCGCAAGACGAGCTGGAGGGGTATGTAATTTTTGTGTTTCAGACATGTGTCTAGAATCTAGTAACGTTTGCGAAATTAAAAGTGATTTTTTTGCAGAAACTTCCCCTGGAGAGTTCATATAAACTACACATTTGTCGGCGATCGGATAAACGGTGTCAAATCGCAATCGACTTTTATTGGTGTATATTGCATATTGAGGAAAAACAAAATTACGTCCTGCCGGAGCGCCACCCCTGCGAATTTGACTATTTTAATTTTTTTTTTGTTTTTGCAGAAAGCTCCCTAAGAGTATACTTAACATTCTTCCCAAAGTTTCATGGAGATCGGATAAAGGTGTAGTTATGCATAAAAGACTGACAAACACACACATACATTGCTTTATATTTATATATATATAGATTAAGGCCTGAAATAGTTTAGTATAGTATCGTAATATTGAAATAGCTTCTAGATAGAGCCAGATCTAGATATAGAATACGGCTGGCTTAGGTTTACGTCAAGGTTATCTAGATCTAGATCTAGAAATTAATTGATAAATCTCACGTATTCTCGAATTAGATGATAATTCAAGCTAAAAAGCAAAGATTTATATTAAATATTTAAGGACTAATATAGTTTTATAAAGAAACTCAATAATTTATTGTGTTTTTATAATTGATTTTATTTTTAACAAAATAATGTTGGTTTAACCTAGATTCTAGATTTTAGATCTAGGATTACTTTCCATTCCTCCTACAGCTGATCTCTAGATCTAAGGAAATGGATTGCATTCTCCAATTAGAAGAATTGTTGAAAATTGATTAAAGTGTTGGAACATAATAAAAATAGCTAAATCGTTAAAGCTAGAGCGGACAGAAAATTAGCTTTATAATGCGTTAAACTTTTGAATGGGCAACAAAATCTTCAATAGAAGCCGCCATTATTGTTATAAAAAGTAAATAAATCATGTGACGACACTATAAGCAAAGTCATTGTTCTGATCTCTTATAATTTAAGTGGTGAATCAACCAAAGAATCTATCAATAAATCAATTAACGTCTTTAAATAAATTTGTGATTAACAGTTTGTTAAAAAAAAGACGTTTTCTACGTAAACACGTATTTCACAGCTATACACATAGCGACAATTCTCTCCTGTAACCAAACAGAAAAACTAAAAAAACAATTAAAATAAACAAAAAAATAAATATACAAACATATAAACAAACTTGAGTTTAAGTAGTATATAGATAGATAGATTAGCGCATATTGTTAAAATATAATGCAAGCATTTTTTTTAATTTGTAGGTATGCTGCAAAGATCTTCAATTCTCCCAAGAGTTACAACGAAAGCTGTATAAACCAACAGAAGAAGATCGTTGCTGGGACGTAATCCAGCTTTAAGTTTTGTCTAAACGATGTTTTGGTTTCAGCGAATTAAAAAAATAAAATATATGTGTTTGGTTTAAACTGTTTTATAAATTGTAAAACATTAGCTAACAGTAAACGAGCAACTACATAGACAACAGTCAACATTATTTCTGCTGAGGATAAAGTTCCTATTTCCGATCTAATGATCATTTGGCAGATGTAATGGGGAATTTGTATGACGAAATGTGTAATGTGTAATCAGTATGTTGCAGGTTAGACCTGGTAGCAAACATTTGGCACCTGCGAGACACAAGCAACAGACCATACCTGGCCAGGTGTCCACAGACCATACCTGGCCAGGTGTCCACAGACCACACCTGGTCAGGTGTCCACAGACCATACCTGGTCAGGTGTACACAGACCATACCTGGTCAGGTACAGACCATACCTGGTCATCTGTCCACAGACCATACCTGGCCAGGTGTCCACAGACCACACCTGGTCAGGTGTCCACAGACCACACCTGGTCAGGTGTCCACAGACCACACCTGGTCAGGTGTCCACAGACCATACCTGGTCAGGTGTCCACAGACCACACCTGGTCAGGTACAGACCATACCTGGTCAGGTGTCCACAGACCATACCTGGTCAGGTGTACATAGACCATACCTGGTCAGGTGTCCACAGACCATACCTGGTCAGGTGTCCACAGACCATACCTGGTCAGGTGTCCACAGACCATACCTGGTCAGGTGTCCACAGACCATACCTGGTCAGGTACAGACCACACCTGGTCAGGTACAGACCATACCTGGTCAGGTGTACACAGACCATACCTGGTCAGGTGTACACAGACCATACCTGGTCAGGTGTCCACAGACCATATCTAATAGGGTCGTTACCTCACTCTACCTCACACTAACAACGTCACTACCTCACCTAAATAACGTCACAACTTAACCCTGACAGCGTCACTACCTCACCTTAACAACGTCACTACCTCACTGTAGCAACGTCATAACCTCACTCTAAGAACATCATTATCTTATCGTAGAAACATCCCATCTTGACAACGTCACTACCTCACACTAACAACGTCACTTCTTTACCTTAACAACGTCACTACCTCACTCTAACAACTTCATTACCTCATCCTAACAACGACACTACCTCACCTTAACAACGTCACTACCTCACTCTAACAACGTCATTATCTCACCCTAACTTCAATACTTCACCTAAATAACGTCACGACCTCACCTTAACAACGTCACTTCTGAACCCTAAAACACTCTACTTCCCCCCCCCCCTGTTTTCACTGTTATACTACCCGCTACATGTACCACCCGTAACTAAAGTGTAATGTCAACATTCTATTACATCATGTAACCTTTATATCTTACAATCTCAGCATTATTTTGTATACTGCCAGCTATATGTTTTATGTTAGCCTTATCCATATATATATAATTCTCTTCTGGGAGAAGTCCCCTCTCTTCCTCTCTATCGCTACCCCCCCCCCCCCCCCCCCGCTCTCCCACATGGTCTGGTGAGCTGTGGATCACGCTAAATGTTTACAAACCGGAGAGACGAGTTTGGTGACGGCTATTAGGGGCAGATAATTTAGATTGAAACGATTTTAAACTTAGGGGAGGTAACTAAGAGGAGGTTGCTTTCACGAGGGGGTGAGGCAGGGGTTGGGGGAAAGGAGGGTTTTAGTGTTTTAAAGCAAATATTTTCAGTGGCATCATTGGTACTGTCGAATTCACAAATTATGAATTACTGAAAAGTTGAAAAAACAACTAAATAGCGGCGTCGGCTCGTATCTTATAATGCAGTATCGTATGTTATTATTCCTGACTCAAAAATACGGAATTGGTTGTAGAAACTGAACACGATAATTCCGAGCTATCGTTACAGAGTTTACAAATTATTCATTTATAGTCCAATAGTTCATACATACACGATGTAAACAAATTATTGTGATTTAACACATACATGATTAGCCAGACGAATGTGTTTTAACACATGATGTAGACAAAGGAATGTGTTTTAACACATACATGATGCAGATAAAGGAATATGTTTAAACACATAAATGATGTAGACAAAGGAATATGTTTTATCACGTATATGATGTAGGCATAGGAATTTGTTTCATTTGTACTTCAAACAAACCAGATGCCATTTTTAAAACAGATTTGATGGCTCAATCTAGCTCTGATATTACAATGGAGCTTTGGGTCCCATGTGAAATTAAAAATAGTAGATTATTTCTTCTGTTAGATCCAGGAAGGCGGTGTGTCACGAATAAAACAAATATTACACATCATGATAATTAAGTGCTGATGTCTCATTGAAATTACCATATTGTGTTGATCAAAAGTAGGAAAGCAATCAAGGAAAATAAAATCATGTCAGCACACCAAAGTGAAAACAATTTCAACTACTATACTTGAACACAGTTCAACACTAGTGCCGATGCTAGTGTAAACAAAAATTCTGATTGTACATGCTATATCTATGTATCGAACTGCTTTAATCCCGTGTAGTGTAGTGATGTTTTGTATACACGTGACCGGTGTTTAAATACAACTACACTTGTTTCAATGTAAGTCTGAATATATTAAATTAAGTCAGGAAGCAAACGTAGTTTTAGTATTTTACAAGCGTTTATTTGACTTGCTTTCTCGGTCGTCAGTCTGTCTATTAACATTGAAACGCGCGAGTGAAATTTCGGACACTTCTAACTATCAGATCCAATTCAAGTTGGTTAAGACATGAAGATAATATAATCTAACAATACTTTTGACTTAATTTGATGCCTAGTTTATTTTTTATGAATTAATTAAAATTGTGTTCCAAATATGTAGGCAGTTTTATCGAACTATTCCGCACTATTATACGCGTTTTGTCATGTTCATTAGGTGCGCATTGGTTTTTAAGTCTTGCAACTCTATTGTGAATAAAATATTTAAAGTACTGAAAAAAATGCGTAAAAACGTTTTAATAACAAGCTTTTATGTCATAATGCATTAAAAAGTAGAAAATAAATGATACACTACTATTTAAATAACCATAAAAACACTATCAGTTGCTCGTGAAGGACGATTATCATCACCCTCACTTTTCACTCCCCCCCCCCGTAAAAGCAGCCGTCCGTGACGATAGTTGACAGTTGACAATGACAAATGCTGCCTTGGGGCGATAGAACACGAGTGCCGGTGACGGTTGGTCGAAAAATCCACAGAGAGGTGCTCAAAACTGACCTCGACTGACAGGCACCTTATATAGGCTATATTACAAAAAAAAACTTCTGCCGAACGACCCCCCTTGATATTCTGTGAGGTGGTAGGAGAACGACTTGGGGTGTCACAAAAACTCGGCATATCTGGGAAAACTTCGTAAAGTGGTAAAAACTGACCAGTCGTATTTCCCTATATAATCTTTGAATTTTATGGGAAAAACAGAGGGTCGTTTCAACACGGATTTTAGAGCATTTACCGTCTGTACATCTGGCTAATTTTTGGCATGCCCTTAGGTAAATGGCTAGGCCGTACGGAAAAATTATCGGTTTGACTCAAAGCCTTCGACGAGGGCTAAAAGATGACCGCGAGTGAAAATCTCTTTATTTGAGCTATATAACGATATATATATATATATATATATATATATATATATATTACCAGAATTGTTTGAAGACTACTTTTTGCAGGCTTATTGATATCTAGTACGTCCTATCAAAGAAAAAGAAGTTTAGGACATAAAAAAAGTTCTACCAACAACCAATACTTTGAACATTTAAATAGCTGGGCTGCGAACATGAACGTTCATATAAATGTGACGCACTGTGTAAGACTGGTCATTGCCTGTTGTCTGGTCCGATTTGCAGGTATTGTGTATGTGCAGTGTATGTAGAGTTTACACGAAAAAGTAAAGTTACCTTTTCGATCCCGACGGTCAATGGGCAAAAGAAGTAGAGTTCGCCTGTTTGTGTGACCTCGTCATATGTAGGAATAGTCTGGTCAGCAATTTGCATAGCCGCATTTACTTTCTCCATGTGAATCAAGTAGTCTGCCAAAGAGAATGGGGTGAGCTCATGGATTTTCTACGAACTTGAGCATGCACTCAAGACTTTCATGTTAACAGTCGTATGTTCTACCTTTCGACCACGCCGTCCCATATCTTACTGGTAGTGTACGTACAATTTTAAAATACATTTTGTATAGAGTATAGATAGAGTATAGATATTTATAATATTGCGTTTTATTTTAAAAATAAATTAGACTTCTGAATAGGTCATATGACGAAAATATTTCTAACGTCAAATTATATATTTTGTGATTCTCGTGATACCAGTTATTGTCACGTCAACACATTTTGGAAAGTATCATACTTGTATAGCATCATAGCCATTTGCTTCATATATATATATATATATATATATATATATATATATATATATATATATATATATAATTATTGAGACATAGTGACATACGTTATAATAATAAGTTATAATTAACAAGATTACGTTATATGGATGAGATATCTAATGACACTACATGCTGTGTTACCCTTTGAACCTATAGAAGCTAACATAGCTAAGGATCAAACTCAAGTACTTCACCTATCTTTCAGTTGTCTCCAGCAGCTGCAGCCTGTCTGTTGAAGAGTTTTGTTATTTTATAAACATGACCCAGTCCAGCTGGTATGATGCTAAGGTAAGATAAAACCTGCATCAAATCGATTTGTCTTTAAAGCTTTACACTGTGAATAATGCTGCGATCAATTCTTCTCTGTTCAACATTAGAGTCATCCATAAATGTCGTCACGCTTTTTTGACGATTTTTTTTTGCACTGGTATAGGAATCGTGTATGAATAAAAAACGGACCTTAGTAAAATTTGAAACCATGGAAGAAATGACAGTTTTTGCGGGTCTCACTAAAACTTACGGTTGGTGCTTTAGTTTGTGTGGTTGAGATCGACTTACCGACACTTGAAACATTCAAAGGAGATGACAAGCACATTGTGGGATATGCCACCTCCATCCACATCTTCAGTGTTTCTTTCAG